ATAAGGAATCCATTTAATATGCCGCACCAAACATTGATACTAAAAATTCGTTGGTTACCTCTTTCTGTAATCCAACGAGGATGGTTTTCGGACCAAAAACGACAGTTGTGTCTGTTAACGATTCCATTATTTTGAAATCGACTTTCGTCGCTCCATAAAATTTTCGAGAGAAAATTTGCATCTTGGCTATACAAATCGGACAATGTCGCTAAGAAATACATTCTTCAAGCATAATCGCCTGGTTCTAGTTTATGAACTAGTTTACTTTTGTACGGGTGAAAAGAGTTTCTGTGTAGAATTCTCCACGAAGAACTTATGGTAACACCGGTATTTTCTTTTATCTCTTATAGGGATATCTTGGAGTTATTATCAACCTGCTGAATTACAGCAGCAGTATTTTCATCATTTGTAGTCGTCCTGTTCCTATCTCTTTTAGGTTTCATGAAGCTGCCATATTCTCTTAAGTTTTTACATAAACTTGAAAAGGTTTTTGCATCGGGGACTCTTCTATGCGGATAACGCCGTGCGTAAACTCTTTTTGCTTCTCTACAATTGCATCTGCATTCTCCAAACACCAGTAACATGTCTACTTTTTCCTCATTGCTAAATTGCACCATTTTCACATAATAATTCTTAGTTTTTTTTTAACCGAACAAATTTGGATATTTCTTGTGACAAAATGTGACAATTTTTTGATACAGCAATAACAACTTACGTTTGTAATTGCACTTAAAACAACTGCGTTAACAATGGTTGCCATAGTAACTAACATTCATGGCATACTTGTAAAAATAAGCGTTAATCACATTTTTTATTAATCAAGAAATGTTTACTTTAAATCGGTATAACTTAGAAACGGGTAAAGTAAATAAGTTTGAGTAAATAACAAAAAAGTTTTTAAATAATATGTACTTTTGTATGCGCGTATTTCCAAAGTCTCTGCAATCGAATAATTTTTCGACGCGTCGCGACGCCCAGCTCTTTGCAGGCGTCGAATGTTTTAAACTTTAGGAAATATCTACTTGACCCCCCACTTTGACTACTTTTTACATAAATTAAATATTTCTTTTCGTTTTGGACTTATTGGCGTGCGGAGTTTTAAGTGAAAAACCCTGTATATATATATATATATATATATATATATATATATATATATATATATATATATATATATATATATATATATATATATATATATATATATATTCTTGAATATTGTAAGGCGAAAGTTGTTATGGAATCTAAAACAAAGGGGCGTCTAATCTTTTATAAACATCCGCTATTTAATAATTGGCCGGCTATTGTTTTCCTTTTCTTATAAATCGGTTTCTCCTTCTGTTAATAATTAAACTTATTAGCTTTCAATTTTTTTAATTGTGGAGAAGCACCGTTTCATTATTGTTCTCCGCTATTCAGGAAAAGATTATGAGTTTTCCGCATTGTTTGACGGGTTATTAGGTAACCATAGTTTTAATAGAACATTACACTAATTGCCCCATGAACGCGCTGGTGACGTAACAATAAAAATATTATTTAATTAATTAAGAATAAATTACCTGTCCGATACGATTAGATACCGTTCATATACATCGTCGACATGTCGACATTCCCTGTGTATTGTTATCGTCTTGCGTTGCGCAAAAATCGTTATTTATGCTATTTAATTTATTGCTCGAAAATTCCAATTTTAGCAATGTTGGTTGAAAAAAAAAACTTAAATCATTGTAACGAAACAGCTCAATCGCCGAAAACGATATTAAAACTTTTGTTAATTTTTATGGTTCTTGGACACGTAAATTTATCGTAATCTAAGCAGGATATCCTAAATGGCCATTTTCCCAGTGAGTGCTGTTTGTAAAAACCGTAGGTGAGAGAGCCCCAGGCTCATTGTGTTAAGCCTTTTTGGCCTTATCTGATTATCGGCTGTTTTATCAGTGTATTTTCTCCCCCTTCTATATACGTTATACGCCACACATACGCGATCACGGCATGCAGACTGGGATCTCGTGTTTGGTCAGTGTATAACGAAAACGCGCTCTTTTAGTGTGAATTAGCGACGGAATAATTACCCAGTGGCGTGCTGGTTCAAATTATTTGCTACAAGAACATTATTCAATCATATATGTTTGAACTTCTTTCAAATCTCTTGTACTAATAGCTGACAATTAGAGGCTCTTGAAATGTAATAGAGGATCCGACGTTAAAAGTCGGTGGTAATTTAACACGACAAAATAACAGTATCTATCTAAACAATATATTTACATTTATAATAAAATAAAACAGCAAACGAATATAATATAACCTTAAATAGAACTTTGTTTACTTCATTAGCATGCTCATCAGAACAATCTCATGGTAATAGGTGGAGTCTGTAGCAATCGACGAAAAAACCCAAAATAGGCTAATCAAATATAAAATATTATAACGGTGCGATGGTACAAATACACTTATAAATTTAGAAAATCAAAAATCAAGAATCAGGCAGTATTATCACCCTTTTGCTCTGAAGCTCTATATAAATTGCGCCAAAATTAAGAAAAACTTCAACTAAACTGATGTTGCATGATGGTGCTTTGTTTTAAGGACATTAGTAATACGGGGTAAATTAGAAAATATCTTCCAAAACAAAACAACTGTTATTATTACGCCTAAAGGCAGATGAAACATATACTAATTTCATCAAGTACCTTCTTCTTCCGCACTTCTACACATCAGCTCCTTTTAGAATAAGACAGCAAAACAAAATAGGAAGACAACATTTTGTGAATTCAGCATAATAAACGTACGACACTGAATTCGGTATACATTAACGCCCACCGATTCAGGAGTAAATTTTGCGGTGCGCGGTCATGCCTAACGCTGCGAGAGGGCTTAATTTCAACATAATTGTTACAGTGACACCATCTGTTTCCTCTTTTAACCGAAGTGCTGGTAATGGCATCAATCTGATTATTTTTCAGGTTGGGTATTATGTGACTGGTCCGACGATGCTTATCTATACGCATTTGTCATTTTAGGTGCCGGGTTTATGATAATAAAAATCATTTTTTTGCTTCCAGATTTACTGGTCTATTTCCACTTTTATTATTAAATACAAAATGATGTCGAGTTCAAACTAAAAGTTTTTATCTGCAAAACATTTTTGTGCGGTATGTAAAGTATTATATCTACTGTACTTCGACTTTCATAGGAGTGCCTATATAGATATCAAAGTAATAGATACTTTTATTATGCCGAATTCACTAAATCTTATATTCCTGTTTCGTTTTGCTGTATTATTCTAGAAGGTGCTGATCTGCAGAAGTCGATAGAACTAGTCTGTAATATTTCATCTGCTTTTACTAATGTCCTTAAAATAACACCATCGTCCTACATCAGTTTAGTTGAATTGTTTTTTTTAATTATATATCTGCAAAAAAAAATATGAGAGCATTTTTAAGGCTTGTTTGTTTCTGTTGCCAGAAGATAAAATTAAAATATCTACTAACTTGTGAGCGGATAATAATTGTTAAACGCAAAAATATGTTTTCATTGTTATAAGAAAAATGAAATGCAGAGAATCTCTAAACCTAACCAATAACCATATCATGCACGTTTTTCTGCTGATAAATGAGAGCTACATATGTCTGATGTGGAATTTCAATTTCAATCGTTTGCGTTATTTTAAGATTATCAGAGTGTTGTATTTTTTTCTTTAGTCCTCATAAATTGTTCCTTTTTAATTATGAATGAAAAAAAAATAAGTCAAACATTAATTTATTAATTGTTAATAATTAATTAAATGTTCGGGTACTGTATGTGGGTAAGGAGGAGATGGCAGGATATGGTACTGAAGAGTGAGAAAAGTGATATAATATGCCAAGACAGAGCAAAGACCAAAAGTGGACCTTCAGAATACGACTGCGGGTATAACAGTGAAGGGGTCATCATCATCTAAGAAGTCTACATAATTTTATGAAGGTTGATAGACGACAGCATAATTATACTGAACACGATTGACTAGTTTCAATGAACCAAAGAGTCAAAATATATATCACCTAAGATACAAATCTTAAAATAATCTTATATTATTTTGATATGAACATCGCAAAAACTTCAACAATCTGGTACTGAATTTTAAAGCATCCTGTGCAAATATGTTTGACATTTCAGAATTCAGTAAGATATTGGGTATGAAAGAAGTTGGACACACTGTTTTTGAAAAATAAATGCATTTTTTTTCATTTTCATAAGAAACTTTAATATTTCTATTAAATGTCTCTTTCAATATTAATGAGTTATCTTAAGATCATATTGCAGCATTTGACAAGTTTTCGGAACATTTTTGTTATCAAAAAAGTGTCAGTCTGTCGATGAATATCTCATCCGTGCATTTCTGAATCTAAATTGTCGTGCTTCATACTTCCCTAAAATTAGAAATATTAACTGTCTTCGCGAACGTTATCGTATATCGTGCTTATATATAAACTGATTCGGTATATGCCTTAAAAAAGAGCATTCCTAACGATTTGTACCACCACGTATACTTTAATTCAGTCCTTTAAATCGCAACGTAGCGTGAAAATAAAAAAAAAAACGATTCATCAACATCCGTAATTACGAAACTCATAAAACGTATAAAAGGCAATTTATCATATCGTCTGTCGTCAAAACTTCTGAGCGATTTCCCAAAGAAACTCCGTATAATAAACCCAATAAAACTGAATGCACAATAACACAGCTTATTTCTCCGGCCCATTATATAACCAATGGAAGTACTTTAGCACATAAAACTGTTTTCCTAAATACTCAATCTAATAAAATCTCTTCCGAAGTCCGGCCCATAAAATAAATACAAGAAGGCAATCCACGACGCCTCGGCGAATCTATTGGGCGTCATATTATATCGGCCGGGCGGCGATTGGTTGTGTTCCGCTGGAAGGGGCATTCCCTTGGGAGGGGAAGAAAACATGGCTGATTTACTGCCTGTTAGGCTCGCTGAGCACTGCTTTAGAGTTAGTATAGCTCAACACTTCTTCGTGAGAGTTAATGAATTTATGCTGGTAGTTTTTTTGGCGGGGTATTACTGCCGATTGGTTAAAAATAAAAAACATAGGCTTACGTCAATTTGGAGCGGAGTGTTACGATATATCAAATTTTCCGGACTATTACAGGACAAAGTGTTCATTACTCAATCGGGCAAAAACAGTTTAGCAAAGAAATTATTCCGTACCGGTTGAAACATTCAAAGTGTTGGGTGTAGGCGAAAAAGTGTCGAGTACGGTGACTGGCATGACCGTGCAAGACGAATCAAGGGCGATGCCGCAAACTGCAGCTACCAGGTCGCGGTTTATGATCACCGACATCTTGAATGGACCAGCAGATGGTGGAGCGGCGGCTATTATGAGGGGACGGTCCCCAAGTCCCAGCCCCAGAGATTTGTCGTTACACTCCAACCCAGTACATGACAGTGATACGGACAGTTCTGGTCATCCCGATACTTCCAGTATATGTTCAAACGGTGAGTCCATTTGTCTATATTCTCTTTATTACAGTTCGTATATGATGTTAACTATTAAAACGGATGTGAGGGAAATGGAGAAAAGAATTGTCTAAATGTATATGATGCAATTTTAAGCAATTGCGAAAAGAATATCTTTTTCCCTCCATACCAATTAGATGCGGCCGAAGACAGGTAGACTTCTTTTTTGATACATGTCTTTATCATAATTATTAATCTATTTTAGAACCTCAACAACTTTAATTTGTTTATAAAAACGTCTCTCGCGACAGTTGCAAATGCGCCTTTCAAATCTACAAATTCACTTACAACACTAGTCTTATTAGTGTCTTCTCTCCAACCTTGCTAAATCGCTGGTTCATATGACTAACTTCTGTTAATTGCCGACTGATCTTCAAGAAGTAAAATTTCGATAGTTACACAAGAGTAACTTGATACAATAATACAGTGATTTGACGGTCGAGAGTGACACACAATAACGCGTTTTACCACAAACCGAAACTCAATTTTACATATTCGACGCGCGTTTCGCCAACCAAGTTGGCATCTTCAGGAGAAGATTAAAACAGTTTCGGTTTGTGGTAAAACGCGTTATTGTGTGTTAGTGCAGTGCCGAAGATTCCAGTCAAGACTTTGACCTCGAGAGTGGGTTACATCAGCTCTTGTAGATCTTTTCAAGGAGGATCCACTACTGCTAGCGTACTTCGCTTTGTGATCGCGGAAGTATGTAACTTGCTCAGCACCAACAGAAAAATGTACCAAAACATCCACAAAAGAAAAACGTATACGCGTGGCAACTAGTGTGGCAGCTGCAAGAGGCATAGAATAGTCAACATCGGCGCATTTACGGCTTCTAACCTTTTGTTACGCTCATGCGACTATAAATTTGGATCTATATTCTTCAAAATATAATTGTCCTAACTAACTTATAAGTATAAAAAGACGGCACAAATTTATTCGTCTGAAACCCCGGGAGTGCACGGCGTTGTTCCTTTTTTGTATTGGTACTACAACATTGGTTTTTAAACACCCAGGAAATATATCCGGCTCTATAGGCAGTACAGAATATCCGATCAAAGGACATATTTCAATAACTCTTATTATTTTTAGTTCCGATATATCCAGGTTGGTGAAAAAAGTTTTCAACTTAAACCAAAGTTTAATTGTCAGGGAAGTGAGGTTTGCAAGGAAAAAAAATGTAATAAGGAGCAAACTTTTGGTTATAATTTGCCCTTATCAAAAGTTGCGGAAGTTGCGGATAAAGTCTAGTAGAATGACATAAAAAACTAATTAAATTTGGCATTCTTATTCAGCGATATCCGCAACTTATAATGAATCACTTATAATCCATGAGATTAATTTCAAGTAGTGAGATGTTTTACCTCCGCTCAATTAGTCTCGTCATAGTGTATTGTTGAAAATTCTTAAATGATAATTATTGATATAGGTAGACAGGTAATTAAAGCCGGCATATTAAAAAAACAATGCGAGATAGCATACATTTTATTCGTAAATATGTTCAGAATTATTGTTGGAAATAGTGAAATGGAATAGTAGTATTCTAGGTACCGCCAAAATAAAAAATCAATCGTGAAATCGTAAGTATTGACTGGATGCATCAGAAATTCGCTGGTAAATTAGGTATAGGTAAGCTAGAAAAGAGTTAAACATAATTAAAGTACAATCATAAAAAGGAAAAATAAAAAAGCAAATTCTCTTATATATAAAATAATTAATTTAACAAAATAATATTATGTATTAAAAAGTACCATTTCAACAATATTCCTGCAAACTATAGCAGACTTTCTCAATTAAAGTGTAAGATAATTTTATAGATTATTTGAGAAAGAGGGTAAAGATCTTAATTCTAATTTTTATATTTATTTATAATTATAAAAATGTATAAATTTCTTTAGGATCAACGGTACAGTTTGTTTTTTGCATTACATCTTTTAAGATAAAGCAATGAGCAAGCATTCTTTCATTCTTTCAACATTCTTAGGTTGTTTTATATCAATTGCGTACCACTCAGAAAGTAGTTAAATATCGGATACCTTATGTTAGTCTTAGGCAATAGTTCTGCAATCGCTGAACTCTGTAAAAGTTAGTTTGATTTAAACACTGCATCAGAGCATTTTACTTGTCACAGGACGACTGAAAGCTCACAAGAATTTTTTCTTACATGTGACTGAATTTGTTGCTTTATGAATTTTTTCAGGATTTTGGACACAGTGAGATAAAATGTTTAGGGAAGTTGATTAAAAGAGTCTGGTTTGTTTACTTTATTTAATAAACTCTGGAACTTAACATAAAGATAAGATAAGGACAATTTAAAATAACTTAAGTGAAAAACACGAAACCTAAGAACCATTTAATATTTTTATTGGAATTTTATTTATTATTTATAAATTATAGTTATTTTAAAAAACAGGAAATAAACAAACCAATTTCTTTTTGCAATTATTCAAATTATTTGCATAATTAATTCCATTTTTTAAATGAGTGAAAACAAAATTAAACCGCGTCATGAAATGTCTATATTTATTTTCTGATATGAGCGATTTCGTTTAAGGTTAGACTCGCGTGATATGACACACCATTATAACCAGATCAAATATTTACTCTGCTAATAGTAGTCTTTTACCCGCGTGTTGATCCAAACCATCGGGAACGGACTTAATCGAATTTTGAATAAATTATGATTCTTTGATTTGCGGTTTGTTTACGTACCTTCCCTCCAACCCCGGCGAGCTCTATTTGTTTACTTATTTATTACCACCATTCAATTCCGCCTCTTTTCAACGGACTTCATTATTTAACTGTATGTGGATAAAAGTAATTATGAGGCCGCCTCTTTATATGTTATTATTTTTGACTTTTAGTTAGTTCTTAACAACGCTGATTTATTGCATGTGGCCTATTTGACATGGAGTACCTTTACAAAATGCACACTTGTCAAGCAATGTCTTTTATCTAAAGTATCACAAAACTGTATGGCGATACGAGTTTTGTAAATTCATTTTCATTTTAAAAACACTAGTATTTTTTGTTTTCCCTATTGAAAAATATACACACACTATAATAGATCAAATAAGAATAATTGTCTAACTGTCAGGCAAAAAGCGTGTACGTGATAATTGGAAATACTTATATAAATTGAATTTTGAGTTCAAAATATTAAGATTTAACCCAAATCGTAGCTGCTCACTGCATTTTATTATTTTAATGATATTGGTCTATTTCACTTTTTCTGGTCATAGTTGGCGGGAAATGTATAGATACTGTGCACCGTACTGGATTTTGTAAGTAAATATGTTTGGGGCTTCTTTTAGAGGTTGTCCCCCCCCCCCATTTAAAGACTTTGATTCTTCAATATTTGAGATGTAAATAATGTACCCTTTCTTTCTAACGTTGAAATAATTACTTACTGATACATTTAAATTTAAAGTAAAAGGGTAGATAGGTACTTATTTTTTATCCGAATTATTAGAGCGAAAATCCAGTCTAGTAATATCTCGAAATCTTGATCTATTGATCCCCTTCTATCAATCTAGTGTCCGGTAAATATCGTATATAAAGTAACACACGAGCAAAATAAACCAGAGCACGAACCAAATCTGTCCATCTGGCATATCAGACTGATTTGGATTTGGGATAATAGTCATTTTGAGAAAATTGTAAATATCGGGCTCCAGTAAGGTCCAATAATTTTGTTATTCAGAATCCCTTCCCAAACCTGTATTTTTTGTGGATGTTGTGGTGTATACTACTAAAAGGTATCTGACGATGCGAAAATGGATTTATGTTGCACATTTCCATCATAGCTTCGCAAAATTGTAGTCTGCGCTTTTAGTACACGCAAAGCTATTCGTTGGCTAACATTATTATTTAAAACTACTTTACAAGATGCACAATGAGGATTATCCCGAATTTCTAATAAAATGTTTTTGGACGACTTCGTAGTAGACGATCTTTGGTTTCTATAAATTTTCTTTCAATTTTACTCACTGTGAATCTTGTAAGGGGTCTTTCTGGAAATTTTGCTTTAAACAAATTACAAACTTCTTGAGTTCTGGTGTTGTCTCCATATCCACTAAAAATTAAAATTTCATTTAGATGCGCCATATTCACATTCTTTACTGACAGAAATGTAATTGTAACAATTTAAGAACTTTTACTAGCTATACTATACCGTATTTGTATTCGATGACATATTAGTTTATAGTATCATTCTGAACTTTGTCATTGTTTATAGCCTGAGATTATGCTTATTTATTCCATTCAATTTATTCTCATCGTCGGTTCTATTGACACCAAATAAAACAAATGCAATTTCGGATAGAAATGCTATATAACGACTCCATCAACTGTTAACTCCGGCAATTTTTCTACACGCGAAACACAATAAAGTGTAATTTTACGACGCAGGTATCCATTTGTGTAAACAGATAGGAGCTTTTTTTCCGGTGACTAATTATCGTTAACTATGAGAAGCTCGTAGCTCCTATTAAGACAATTTGATACCGTTTTTTCGTTTTAACAATACATTGTTTGAAGTTAACGTACAGTTAAGTTATGCAGGCGCGGGCCAATTAATTTGAAATTGTAATATTAATATCCGCTTGTAGTATTTTGCTCCGAGGTAACCATCATGTCCCGAAAATATGGTTGCCACGTTTGGGCAAAATTTTATTGTTAAAATTCGATGCATTGTCGGTAGAATCTTTCTATAATTGCGGGTACAAAGAAAAAAACAACCTTTTGCTGTCTCGTACTTTTCGAAATTGGGTTTGCCTCAAAATTCGCATTTTCAACAGATCTAGAACGTATTGTTTTTATTAAGCCTCTTGAACTTTTTGTCGTACAAACTTTGGTGGTTACATTTAATTTGCAATTTTCAATCAATGTTTACTTGTGACTTTGGCTTTCATTTAACTATTTGTTAGAAAGCTTTTTTTGGCTAAATAAACCACCGTTTTATCACATTTTCAGTATTTACT